AGAAGACAAACAGCAATGATGTTCGTTAGGAGTTGAGAGGCCTCTGGCCTCCGGGGGGGAGTCCTGAGGGGTCTCCACGAGCACTGGAAGCCGTCCTGTGGTCATCTTGCGGCCTCTTGGAGGCACGTCGGGAGCCATATTGTACCATATTCGGCGAATTATGTTGAGCCAGTGTGGGGGGCATCTCTAAGCACCAGGGGCCCTCTTAGAGCCATGTTGACATGTATGGTGGAAGCACCTCTAATTGCGACGGGAAAAACCAGACATTCTGTCAATTTAACAGATTATCGGCATGGTCGCCTTTCCGACCGTCCCCGCCCATTCACAGGTTACGTAGTATTGTTTTTGTCATTTTGATCGCTCACCTTCGTACAGGCGGGACTCGACATGGTCCAGTTGTTTGAGCCTCGGCCGTTGGCCGATGCTCAACCATCTGATGGCATGTCTTCTCTCATAGAACGACTCCTGGAGCAACTTTTCAATACAATGACGGGTGCCGGCGATCACGCGATCTCTCCTGAAGATCTCGACCCCCAGGTTGGCGATTCAATGGCTATGCCTGTTTTCACTCCCTGCGGACCCCAACCGCTGGAGGCAACCCTGGCTGGAACTCTTACGCCGCTGACTCACGCGCTTTCTGCGTCGCCCCCTGGTTTCGGCCCTCCGCTTGGGGCAACTAAAGCTGGAGGAGATCTCGGGCCCATCCCTGCTTCGCCTCGGGCAATTCTAACAGGAGGAGCTCGCGGCCCCATGATCCCCTTTGAAGCCCGTGCTTGTGCCATTCAGCAGATATGCGCGACCGTTCGCATGCACCCTGGCCCCTCGCACAGGGCTCAACGATCCAGGGATACCGACCCGATCGATTCGACCGACCGGCGCACCTGCGGCCAGAGTCCTTCCAGGATAGGGCATGGTCGTCCCATGGGTGTACCTTGCGACGCTTCAGCTTCGCCAGCCCATGACATTGCTCAGCTCAGACACCAGGTTTCCACAGACACCTGATGGACAGCGCGCCTTCGCTGGAGGGCTTGCCCAACCAAGTCAACAAACTTCGGCCTCTAAGGCCGCCGCTCTCCGATGGTATCTTTTCCAAGGGGTTTTTGCCATCGACCATCCGCTGATCGGAACAGTATTTTCACAGGCGATAGCTACGACCGAATCAGGCTTCCACTCAGACATGAAAAGTCCAAGCGGGACTTGTCCAAGCAACGGGGATCTTTCGAAGAGAAATCATGCCCCGCACAGTGGGGGCATCTCCTTCGAGTGCCTTTTCCGACCAGTTCCACGAGCTCCCCCACGCACTAAATACTGCGTCCGCTTCTTCGGGGGGCCACGTCGCGGTTGTAGTGTCCGGGCAGGTCCATGAATTGCCCGGCGGGACATAGTCCCAGACTACCACCTTACGTTTGAAAACGAACATCATTCAGCAACACGATCATGGGATTCGATGTTCAGCTGGGAATATAGCCTAGAACAAAAAATACAACGCGTTAGTCTTCCAGGCCTGAGTCATTGAGTCTCGGCGATCGACACAAGCGTTGCTGAACTGCGCTTTGCACGGGACCTGACTGGCCAGCTGGCTACCACTTGCATCGACGTCGCCCCCATGGCTTCCGATATGCAGGCCATGAGTTTGCCGGCGGACCGCGCGCAATCCCAGATTGACGCCGTCTCTTGCGATCTTTTTGAATTGGCACGGGTATTTGAGTTTCAGGCCCGCCTGGAGGCAGTGAAGAAGGACCAGAGCAGGACCATGTCTGCGCTTATTTCTCACGTTGCGCATCTTACTTTTGAGGTTGATTGACGTCGCTCACTGCGCTCTCAACAAACCAACGCGGTCGCCGACGATACGCGCAGCCTCGAACATGGCGTTGACCGGCCCCAGGAGTCCGCGCGACTCGACGACCTCGTCAAGTCGCGTGCTGCAGACTCCGCACTGCGCGCGCGTTCATCCCCGCGCGCGCGGGCGCCCGCGCGCGTTCGCGCGCGCGAAGACAGGCGCGCGCGCAAACGAACACACACGCACACACACGCGCACACACGCGCACACTCTCTCACTCACACATACACACGCGCGCACACACACAAGCGCGCGCGCCAACGCCGCCGCCAGCAGCTGCAAAGCCCCCCGACGGTCGCCGCGGGCACCGCCCCAGGCGCGTCGGTCGTCGCATCCGCGCGCGGCGCCCGCGGCGCCTGCCGAGGGCGCCACCGGACGCGCCAGGTGCCGCGCTCGCTTCCCCATCCCTTTCGGCCCGACGCATCGCGCGATGGGCGGCGCGCCCGCGCTCGCGGGGCCTTGCGAGGAAGCCGAGGACATCGCTGTTCTAGGCTTTTCTCGTACCTGTCAGGTTCTTGCACGGCAGCGGCGCCCTTGCAAAGGTGTCTGAAGTGCGTCGCGTCGCCCCGCCGCCGCTCGCCCGCCCCCGCGCGCCGCCGAGCGCGCCGCGATTGCGACGGATGGGCCGCGGCGTCGCGGAGACCTTGCAAATCTGGTTTGCAAGTGAGCGCCTGCGTTCAAGAAGGCCGCCGGCTCGGACCTGCGCCGGGAGATCAGGTTGCAGGGATCTCAGGATCGCACGCGCCGTCGTGCGTTGAAAGGTCGACAGATTTACCTGGTGATTCTGCCGTGCTACAAGGTCTCGGAGACTGGGGCGCCGCCCGCGATTTCGACCAGCCCGCGCCCCGTCACATGAAAGATGGTGACCCGCGCAAGTTCTTGATTTACTTCCGCGATTTGCTCCTCGATCTGAGGGGGTTTGCTCCTCGACCGACCTCGGAGTCACTATTCCGTGCGTCTGGGCCCAGAGGCGCCCCTTGGCGCGCGAGGATGCGGCGCGCTGCCGCGGGGCCGGGAACTACCCTAGGGCGTTTGATGACCGTCGCCGCATGTGCGCGGCCATGTTCGAGGCGGCCAGATCCGAGGCGCGGGCCCTCGGGCGTTCGTGGCCTTGCCGCCCCGATGCCGAGACGCGCTGGTCCAGTGATTATCTCGTCTTGGGCGCTGCTGCCCTCGCCGCGCGCCGCGACGGATCGCGCTGCCGCGTCCGCTGCGCGATGGGCTCCGTCGCCCGAGATACGTTGGCTTCCTGCGTTTGCGAAGGTTCGCTTCGTCGCTGCATTTCGGATGCCTGCGACGCCGCGGCCGCGGAGGCCTTCCGCCCGCTTGGAGGGGCGCGCAAGCTCGAGCCACTGCCGACGTGCACCGCTGGTTTGGGCTACCCAACTAGTTCTCCATGAGCAGTCTTGTTCGATTCAATTGCAGATGGACCAGCAACACCTCGGGCGGCCGAGGACAGCTGGGAGCAGCGTGGGAATTGCATCATTCGCGCGTCTGGCGGCTCTCGCGCCCGATTTTCCGCTCTCGCGGTCGCGTCATTTGACTGCTCGATGACTCCGTGAAGTTAGGCGTTGCGCGCGAAATCACGACCGCGCAAACGTTCCAGGGCGGCGGCGAGATTCGCGGCGCGGGGGGGCGACGGGGGTGGGTGGCCCAGCGGCGGGCGCTGCGCTTTTCGGAGCTCGGCAAGAGCAGCGTTATTTCGGGCGCCTGAGTTGGGGGGCGGGGGCTCGAACGGGCGCGCGGCGCAAGTCTTGGTCGCGCCGCCCGTTGCTTCGCGGAGAATGAGGCGCCCGTCGCGGCGAGCGCAGTCTCGCGCTGTGCGGGTAGCGCGGCGCCATGGGATCGCGGCCGGGGGGGGCGGGGCATGGCCGCCGCGTCCCAGCGACGCTACGCGGGAGGAACGGCCGTGCCCGAGTGTCCGCGCGGGCGCCGTGTCCAGGCGGGCCCCGCGCGAGGCGGGGCGCCGCGGCGGGGTCGCCGCGGGCTCGGCAGCAAAGAATTCATGCATGTAGGCTCGCATACATGTATCGGCCCCCGTAATGTACATGGTATTCATGCGCTTTTGGTATTGAGTTTCCGCTGCGTGTAACCGCCCTGCGTGTGTTCTGGGGGAAACGTGAGCGCCCTCGCGGCCCGCTGGCGACCCGCCCCACGATTGCGATGTAGAGAGGGGAGATGCCGCGAGGCTTTGCCGCCCTCTTTCCAATCCCGCCGACGTCGCAATCTTCTGCGCCGCTCGCCACTCTTCACCTCTGTGCGTGCCCGCCTCTCCTGTACTCTACTTGCGTCGTGGCCGGGGGGTGGGCGTCAGCCGTGGAATCGGGCTCGCGCCGCGCGCCGACGCCCATGGTCAGGTCCGGCGATGCCGCGGCGTGGGATGCGCCATCTCCGCGCGAATCGAAATTTGTCACCGCGCGCCCGGTTCGGCCACCTACCCCCGCCCGCATGCCGGCGCACGAAACGTTGCCGTGGCCGGGCCCCGCGAAGTGCGACGCCCCCCCTGGGGCCATCCGTCCAGCCACGAACGTCCCCTGAGCATGTCGGGCTCCGGCGGGAAGCCGTGGCCACATAGGGGGCGCGGGCGAAGATGGTATTCACAATTGCGGTATTCACAACTGCATATGGTTGGGTCTTTCGCCGGGATAATTTTTCTTCTTCTGGCTTGCGCCGAAGACCGCCGACAAGTCGGCGAAGCGTGGACCGGGCAGATGCGCTTCCACCCCGCGCCAGATCTCATCGCAGGCGGGAAGCGTAGGATCCAAAGCTGAGAGACCCCCATCCAGGAGGCACGGCGGCCCGACCACGGCTTCCCAGAGCATATGGAGTCATGCGAGTGGAGCTTTGATCCAAGAAGCAACGCCAGCAAACGCACCTCGTCACAATGCCGTTGCCCCTGCGCGCGACGCTCGCCGTCGCGCGTCTTTCTCTGCGCGCGGGCTAGCGGTCCGCTGCGGGGGAACGTCGAACGGCGCTTTGCCGTGGATGCAGCTTCTGGCGAGATTACTCGCGTCGAGGACGTCAAGGGTGCCGATGGCAAGGACATTTCGCGCGCTGCCATCCCCTGCGGCCTCCGAGACGATGCGCTATCCTCCTGGTCGCCGGCCCGCCCCACAACAGCGCCGCGTCAACCGCGGAGTCGGTCGCTCCCCTTACCCAGGCTGCGTCGGCTGCAATATCTGGCGGCAGATTCCCGATCTGCTTGCGCTGCGCGACGGCGCGTCGACAAAGTGGACATTGGGCGCCGGCCCTGTTTCGACGGCGCTGAACCTCGCCAAGATCACGAGAGATATTGTCGCGAAGCCGCTGGCACAGGAGGCCACGCAGGCCGAAAATGACCGCGTCCGTGCGACGATCGCCTGGCTGTGAGATGTAGTGGCAGCAGTGGGCGACGTCGCTGCGCACGCCACGGAAGATTGCAAAATGGGTGTCTTCGTAGTATCGCTGGACAAGTGCGAAGGCCGCGCTGTCGCGCATGGGCCCAGGAAAAAATCAAAAACTGGGCTCGCCGCGTTGTGGGCGCCGCGCCGAACGCCCCCGCATCAGGGTTTTTAAGCGCTGCGACGACAGCCTGACCAGGTGAACAGGGTGGCGCCCCCCGCGCCTGCGCGCAAACCGTGTTCTACGGCGATGGTTGCATCGGCCCAGTGGATACATGGATCGCCCCGCCACCGTTTCAGCGCCCGGCTTCGTGGACGAATCGCCTACGTCCAGTTTGTCGCTTACGACACCGTACGACATCCTAGCGCAATTGGGCGAGTCGCCGACGTCTATCTGCACGTTTACGTAAACTCTCTGTTCCGATTCGTTCTAAATCGTTACTTACATCCGGATCTCCCCTCACTCTGTCGACTACGCCCCCATGCCAGTTTGGGAAAGCGCGCTGTCGCGCCTGGCCCAGGGACTGGCACGCCCAGACTAATTACGCGGACGACTTCAGATCGGCCGATGTCAAGGGCAATACCTCCAAAGCTTGGGATTTCATCCGTGAGTCAGGTTTCATCATCGACCCGCCGAGCAAGGCTGGACCTAAATTGCGTTTTGGCGATTTCGTGGGCCGTTTTCGTTTCGACTTCGTTTTGCGGTAAAGGTGGATTGAAGACCAAATGAGGGAAAACGAAAACACAACAAAAACGACAAAGACCGTTTAGGTTCAGCCCTGCCGCCGAACTTTTGTGATATTTTTTCGGGCGTGGACAATGCCCGCGCGACATGTCGAATCAGGGGCTCGAATGGCGCATGGCCGCTATTCGCCTTCTGGTTCGCAGACCACCGTCAGGGCCACCAAGTGCGCGTCCAGAGCAATCCTGAGTAGACCACTTTTGCGCGGCGCGAAATGGGGCATGCGTGACTTTACCGGTCAGTGTGGCCAGCGATACCTGCAAGTCGGGGCATGCGCCCACAATTAGGAAGATCAAACTTATTGCGTTCACGATCGGCTGCAGACAGGCCAGGGAGTTCATGATCGCGGTGCCTTCGGATTGGGTGCAGCGAGTAATATGATGAAATGTATGTATGGTTGCGCGTTGTTGTCGGTTCGATGTTTTGCGCGCCGTCTGCATGTTCCCCGCGAGATTATTGAGTGGGACACCGCCTGAAACAAGAGACTCCGTCGACTTGGGTGTTATCTACACGCGCGGGACTACAGTCTGCACGGTTTCATCGGGAATTTTGCCAAATTACCAAATTGCTCCCCACGGGCCCCTCATTTGCCTCTTGGGCCGTGTTGGGGCGGTCTTGGCAGCTTTTCAAGCCTTTTTGGAACGCCATGAAACCGAAAACGCTTCAAGGTCACAAACCGTCAAACACCTAGGCAACATGCTGAGCAGCATTCATCACTTCGGCCTGTTGGGGCCCTGTTGGGAGGCCTCGTCGGGCCCTCTTGGGCCGTCTTGGGAGCCTCCTCGACCCCCTTGAAGCCATTTTGAGCGTCGTGGGGATATCTTCCGCCGATTGGGCGCCCTGTTGGACCGTCTGGAAGGCCTCTTGCGGCCCGCTTGGCTCTTTCCGGGGGCCCTATGGCTCCCAAAAAGACGCGGGGAGCCGCGCCAGGGCCTAGAGGGCACGCGGCAAGCCCAAGAAGATTTGGTCAGTTGGGGTCTGGGCCCTTTGAGAACACTCAGGAGCGAGGATTGAGGCTAAGAGGATTAGGCGCAGGACCTGAGGACACGCATTTTCCCTGCCGACGGCCACGGTGGCGGACTTCTTTCTTTCTCCTTTTCATTATGTTAATCTCTCTCTCTCTACTTCTTTTTCTATCCTTCTCTCTCTTTCTCTCTCGTATGTTATCCTCCTTGTTCGTCGGTCGTCTCTTGCTTCCTCGTCGTCCTCCTCGATCCTCCTCCATGATCCTGCCAATCATCCTCCCATCTCCCCCTCCCTCTTGCCGCTCTTCAGCGCTGCGCAGTTCGATCAATCGGGTGTTCTTTCCGTCGATGCCTGGCCTCATGTTGACACCCTGTCCCTTTGTACAGTAGACGACGGGTCAACCGTTTTCACTGTGAAGGGGTCGAGGAACGACCCGCCACCCGATCCAGCCATGATGCACGGGGGGGCCATCGCCATGGGAAGGGGAGGGTGCGAGGCGCGAGGGCTGCGACAGGATGTCTGATGTGGCGCGAGCGCGAGCGCACTGCCTCCCTCCCCCTCCCTCTCCCCTGCGCAACTCGATGTGAACACTGCTCTCCTGTCTCCCCCTGACCACATCCACCCGTGCCGCCGCCTCTCTCGCGTCCTGTTGTTGCCTACGCTCTGCAGTTCGCATGCTGTGGTTCAAAGCTGGTGCTTCCTAGCTGGTGCTCCCGCCGCCTCTTTTCCCCTTTTCCGCCTTCCCCTGGTCTTCTTGCCCCTGCTGCTGCTGATCATCCTACATTCTCGTCGTCATCCTACTCTTCCTCCATCTCCCCCCTTTCTCATCAGCCTCCTCCTCCAATGCGCCCTCCGCGTCATATGATGGTGTCACTTGAGGGGGAGCTGGGGCATGCTTTATGCCATCGCTCGCACCCTCCGTTGCCGGTCTCATCGCCCGGACGACTTGCTAGGTGGCGGCCATGCCTGCGCAGATGGCGGCAGCCGTGCCGACCATACCTTCAGGGTGCCCCCCCCCCCTCCACTCTCTACGGCATGCTGCGCGGCGGGGATGGAGGGCGAGGGAGGAGGATTCGTCCCCCTCCCGTCCTCACTTCGCTCCTGTCCTTCTTCCTGTCCTTCCTCCTTCTCCCCTTTTCCTTTGCCCCTTTTCCTTCTCCCCGTCCATTCTTCTCCGCTCCTTTCCATCACAACCCTCCCTTTCTTGTGATATGATTTTTCCTCCTCTTTCCTTCCTCCCGCTCTCTGGCGTTGCCAGAGGTGGTCCTGGCACAAGGTGCCCCCATCTTCTTGCTTCTCGTGCCATTTGGGATAAGTACTCCAGATTTCGTAATAAAAGGGAGGGGGTCTGGACCCTCCAAGACAAGCCATTTCAGACATCCCCCGTGGGAGAACCCTCCAAAACATCGTCCCCAGACCCCCCAGGCCCTCCAAGATAGCCTGGAAGAGACCCCCCCCGAAATGAGACCCCCCTCCCTTTATGACGAAATCTGGAGTACTCTGAGGCCCTCTGAGCATCGTGACGGGTGCTCCGGCGTCCATCCATCCGGGCCTCTCGAGAGACATGGGGACCCTTTTGGGCCAGGGACGCCTCGGGCAGCACCCGACCCTCTCTGCGACGTGTGGCGTGGCAGGGGAGGAGGGGAGCGAGGGAGGAGAAGCCGCCCCCCTCTCCCCGCCCCCCTCCCCTCCCCGCCCTCCCGCCCAACGTCGACACGCCGAGTAAGAAAACGTTCGCTCTCGGGCCTGGTGCTCGGGCCGCTCCCCAGGTTCAAGGTCAAGTCGGGCCCGTCCCTCTACAGGAGGAACATCCAAAAAAACAGGTCCCTCAGGAGGAAGTCCCCCCCCCCCGGCATCGCGATTGCTGTGTTCACCCCGGGCGCTCCCGCCCGGCCTCGGCCCGTGGGGCCCTCGCGGGTCGGTCCAGCTTAGGAGAGGTGCCGCGGACATTTTGGGGTCGGAGGTCCTGGCCGCGCGCCCCCCCCCCCCCCCCCCGGTGCTTTCCCTTCTCGCGCCGCCGGAGCTCGGGGTCCATCCTCGCCCGCCCCCTCTTCCTCCGCGCGTTTTCCCCCCCGCGTGCGGGAGGGCGCGCGCGCGCCCGTGCGGCCCGGGAGGGTGAGGAGGATCAGGCGGGGCTGCGGGGGCGGAGGGGGGGGGCGAGGGGCAGAGCGGGAGCAGAGAGGGAAGCAGAGGAGGGCAAGGGGCAGGGGCGCGTCAGGGGACAGGAAGCCCGCACCAGACCGAGAGAGAGGCGCTTGCCAAGGGCTGGTCATGGATCTTCCCCGCGAGGAAGAGCGCCCCGACCGAGCGTAGTTCGCCGCCTTCCCTCATCGGCAGCTTTGGGCTCAATTCACGCTTCGCATACAGCTTGGGCTTCTTGGTCTCCTTTCCTCGGGCTCCAGTTATGTGCCTGTTCTACGTCCTCTGGTTCGGCTTCGTCTTGTACATGCCTAGGGGGCGGCTTTGTGCATCGCACCGCGATGGGGCCCACTCCATTCACGCCCTGCCTGTTGCGTCCCCCCTGTCCCATCCCGCCTGCCCGCCTGCCTGCCTCGTCCCGCTGGCCTTGGTCTCTCGCCGGGGGCGCGCTCGGCGTCGTCTTGTGGCTTCCTCCCTGCTTGCTGCTCCGTCTGTTTCTAGCTTGGCAGCATCGATTGCCGGGAACTTCACTCACATCTGCCACTCGGGCGGGTGGTGATGTTCAGGGCTCGACCTAAACTGCGTTTGGGCAATTTCGTGGGCCGTTTTTGTCTTGACTTCGTTTTGAAGCGAAGGACGACAAACAAAACGAGGGAGAAGGAAAGCAACACGACCACAAAAAGTAGTGTTTCGGTCGAGCCATGGTAATGGGGGGGTCGACCAGAATGGGGGGTGAAGAACAGGGCTCTTGAAGGGGCGGTGTAGGGCCCCTCTTGGAGACAGCAGGGGCTAACAAGGGCACCTAAAGCTCACAGTGGCGATGCGGTGCTCCAGTGAGGCCAATCACAGTCGGGACGCTGAAGCAGGGACGTACCGCCGTGGGCCTAGGAGGAGCCTTGTGGTTCGGGCCGCGTCGTAGACTTCGGTCGGGGAACCTGTTCGTCGCCGAGGCTCCCGCTGGCCAGGAAAACCACGTCCTAGCCTCTTGGGCTCGTGCATGGCCCTTTTGTGTTTTTGGACGTCGTGGGCCAGAGACACCGATGCCACTGGCTCGGCATGGGCGGCCTGGGGCCTCGCATCCTGCCGTGCATCCTTGCCACGCGAGGCTGCTGCCGGCCCAGCAGAAGCGCAGCACGGCCCCCATGGCGAAGAGAGGGCGGAGACGCCCCGAAGCCACCCCCAAACCCTCCGGAGCTGCCGCGGGGCTGGGCGTCTGGAAATCGTCCGAGAAGCGCCCAAGCGCCATGGGCAGGCAAGATTTTAGTGAACGTTGGGCGAGAGTCTGGGGCAACGGGCGGCCGCCGGGGGATGGCAGGGCTGAAGCGGGGAAGGTGGCCGGCGAGGGCGGCAAGGAGCCCAGTCCTCTGGAGGCCCGCCAAGAGTCGCGGCTGAGTTTGCTTCGGCTACACATGAGCGGGACCCTCCTCCGGAGTGGTTTGTGATTCGAGACGCCATAACATTTGGCACTTCGACGCCGAAACGATCCGACGTAAACTTTTGGCGCTTCGCGCGGATTTCTTGGATCCATGCTGGGCCCCCCCAGCGTCGCCTCCGGCGCCGCCCCTGGCGCGCTCCGCGCGACAGGGAGGGGGGGTACAGCGCAGATCCAAGAAATCCGCGCGGAGCGCCAAAAGTTTATGTTTATGGCGTCTTTCTTCTTGTAGTGATGCGGTGCCACTGGGGTCCCCCGATCGCCGAGCGCGGTGCGGTAGCAGCGTCTTGCGCGCTCTTGCGTTATGTCTCACCGTGGCTCCCAACAGGCCGCCCACCAAAGGTCACTCCTTACCCAGGGCCACTCTTGCGTGGAGCCAGTTTTCACCATCTCAAGTGTCTCGAGGTCTTTTCCTTGTCACGTGGCTGTCAATTGAAGACTCGGCATGAAGAGTAAGTTTCTGGGAAGGGGTCGAGAGCTCCAGGCTCAGTCGAGTCGAGTCGTTGGTGTTTTGGGACCTGGTGTTCGTCGACCCACACAGAGCCCGAACAGGCATGGTGCACTTGAAGGAGAGGCGATGTGTCGCCTGAGAGTGTCTGCACGTGCTCGTTTGGTGCCGCGCCCCTTCCAATCTCGGCCGAAAGGTGGAGGGACTCTTGAGTTATTCAGATGCCTGGCAGTGTGTCGAGACAGGCAATACGGAGTCTCAGTGGACGGTGATGCCCGGTAACGCTCATGTTGGACGTGTTCTGCTTCATGTTAACCAGCATTTTCTATCAACAGTTCATCAGGGCTCAGTTCGATCCCTCCGAATCGATTCGATATTCGATTTCGATGGCCTCCGATTCCGATTCGATTCGACTTCATATTCCGATTTGGATTTCGATTCCTCAATGGAGGCATACTAGCCTGCCGATGTCTGCCGATTCGATGTTTCCCGACTCGGCTGCTAGTATCCGTCGATCCGGTTCAAGTCGATCGCCGGTCCAACTTGTCGGTTAGATTTTGGGCTCTCTTGGTTGATGCTTTGGTGTCGCGTTGGATACGGATCGTCTGCGGCACACAGCAACGAATCCATCCAGTGAGTGGCAGGCCTGCCTCCTACGCACAAGTGTTCGTTAATGATGAGATTTTCTTATTCTGGCGTGTGTCGTGTTTCACTTTGTCTGCAGGAATCTGGGCAGTATGGGCGTTTCGGCCCCACCCTGCAGCACCCGCTTGGTGCATGACGCAGCGCGTGTCCGTGTCCGCGTCTGTGTTCTCCACCCGTCATCGCTCCCTGCCACCTCCTTTCTCCCTACGGCCCCACTCCTCTCTCAACCTCCTACCCTCCGCCCCTCCCCTCCCTCGTCCCTCGTCCCTCCGCCGCCCCCCCTCCCACCCGCCCCCCACCCTCCTCTCTCGCAGCCGCCTCCCTCTCCCCCGCCCTTGTCCTTGTCGATCCCGTCTCCGCTCTCTCCTTGGGCTGGCAACGGATCCCGTCGGCCTCCTCGGAGTGAGCAGTTTTGGGCCTCGTCTTGTCTCCTCCCTCATCATCATCCCCCCCCCCCGCGCCCTCCCTCCTCATCCTCGTCCTCCCCTCTCCCTCCGTCCTCCTCCCTCCTCGTCCTCCTCGCTCCTCCGCCCTGCTCCTCCTCGCTGCCCCTCCTCCCTCCCCCCATTCCTCCCCCCTGCCGCCTCCCCCCCCCCCACACCACCACCGGCCGCAGCGGCGAGCAGGTCCGCGCACGTGCTGCAGCCCCAGGGCACGCTGGCCGGGTCGTTCGTGCCCCCGCTGTCCTCCAGGCGCGGGCCGTGGCTGTGCGCGATCTCTGTGGTGCCTCTCCTTTTCTGCTCACCTCCTACATCTTCCCGCTTCTCTTCGATCCTCTTCCGTTCCTCCTTACTCCCTTCTTCCTGCCCCCCCTCTTACCTCATCCTTCCTCCCCCTCTTACGAAGGGGAGGAGGAGGTGCATGAGGAGGAGGACGAGGAGGAGGAGGAGGAGGAGCGGAATCAGGAGCAAAAGGCTGAGGTTGATGATTGGCGGGATCAGGAGTTGGAGGAGGATGAGAAGGCGGAGGATGTGCAGGGCGGCGCGGAGAGAGACGATGGGGATGAGGGGGAGGAGGAGGAGGAGGAGGAGGAGGAGGAGGAGGAGGAGGAGCAGGAGGAGGTGGAGGAGGAGTCGAGGAATCACAAGCATGGATTAAGGCGCATGGATTAGCTTTGGGTCCCGTTTCCGTTCAGAATCGGCGCGATTTGTAGCCAAAACGAGCGGCCCTGGTTTCAGGGTTCGTTAGGTATTTGTCCCGATCCGTAGATCTGGCGCCCACGCGCCCGATCAGCGGATCCGTAATCCAAGTTAGTTAGTCCCCGAATCAGCGGGGTGAGGAGAAGAGGACGATGACGATCAGGAGCATTAGGAGCAGGAGTACGGATTGTTGTGCAAAACTGTGGGATTGCATCGTCTTGCCGTTTCCGCTGAGTTCCCAATTGTCTGCGACAATCTTTGTTATCGTGCGAGTGCAGCATCGAGATCCGTGCAGTGTGGTTTTACCAAGGTCCTCGAACTGCCTCGAATGAACCGTCGTTGCCTCATCTAGGAACCGGCTTTACGATACTGTAGCGTGGCGCAGCCGTTATCTTGCATTGCTGGGGCTTGCTCAAGTGGTTTACGCCATTCCGCCGACCCCCAGCGGGCTAGAGACGTCCATGGCGTTCGGTAGATCATGTTGGAGCTGGAGTGTTTGGCGTGTTCTGTTCATGCCCGCGAGGGTTCAGGAGACGTCAAGATAGCTGGCGGTGCGTTCCAGAGGCCATCATCATGGGGGATGGGGTAGGCGGAGGAGCAGGAGCAGGAGCAGGAGGAGGAGGAAGAGGAGGAGGAGGAGGAGTAGGACGAGGGGAGGGATATTGGTCACAATGGGGAAGGGGGGCAAGAGGAGGAGGAGGAGGAGGAGGAGGAGGAGGAGGAGGACGGAGCCGAGCAAGCCTTGGACCCCCGTTCACTCGGTTCCTGGCCGAACGACCCTCCGACGACGACTGACCGATTCTCCTCGTGGGCGATGAACATATCAGCTCGCGAGCCCGGGCCCTGGGGCGTCGTTTCGCGGATACTCCGCGCGGAACGTATCCGTGCGACCGCGTATCCGCGGGATCGCGCCCTGGAATCCAGACCGCGGAGGCGCGGCGCGCGTGCGGACATGTTCGCCCCTCGTGGCTTCCAACCCTCCGGAGCGAGACAAGCACGTGCACGTACAGGCACACACGTCGGCCTCGAGAGCGCGCCATTACACAAGCGTCCCCACCGCGGGCCCGGTCTCGCGGGAGGAGTGGGGCCGTGTTCGTGGACGTGGTTGAGCGCGCACGTCTTTCCGTGGGCTCTCCGGGCCTTCCTCCCGATTCCCGACCCACCCTCCCCCTCGACGGGCCTCAGACCGGGGCTGGACCGACACGCTGCTCTGCTGGATTGCGGCCGTGCTTTGTGCTTCGTGTTGGGAGGGGGGGGTGGCAGGAGAGCAGGTCGAGCAAACCGGAAGACACAGCGACAGCAGCACGTCGGGCGGGACTTAATGGGGGGGTCATAAACGGGGGGATCAGAAAAGGTCCCCTTTCGGGCCCCTCCAGAGCCCCAGGGGGCTCGTTGAGGTACCGTCTGGGTACCTTTTCGAACCACCCTCGCCACCCCTTCATTTGTGACCCCCCCATTACGCAACGCCCAACCCCCTCCCGGGGCTCGCTTCCCGGAAGACCCCGAAACGCTGCCCTGGGCAGTCTGGAGCTTCCTGGTGGCCAGGGCGGGGCTGTCCTGGGGCCCTCCAAGGCTGGCCAGGGCTCCCGAGGTGCCCCGGGACGGCCACCGAGACCACGAAGATGACCCCCCCACTACGCGGCGCCCAAGCACGGAAGACGACGCTCAGGCCCCGCCCCGCCTCGGACGACGCCTCCCGCGTGCCGCGCCGGGGGACGGCGGCGAGGCACACGGTGCCGACCAACGGGCACGGGCAGCCGCAGCCCCACGTGCAGGCGGCGGGGCCGCCTCCAGGAGCCCCTTCCCCGCGGGTCGGCCGCCGTCGTCGTCGTCGTCGTCGTCAACGTGGTCGTCGCCGCCGCCGTCGTCGCCGTCGCCGTCGTCGTCGTCGTCGTCGTCGTCGTCGTCGTCGTCGTCGTCGTCGTCGGCTGCCTCGTGGGAGTCCATCGTCGTCGTCGTAGTCTGCCTCGTCCGTCGTCGTCGTCTTTTCGCTGTCGTCTTCGTGGGCGGAGGAGGCGCAGGGAGACGCCCCGCGGGTCGACTGCCGTCGCAGCCTGCCTCGTCGGCCTCTGTCTTCGTCGTCGTCTGTGCAGTCCTTTGGGGGGCAGGCGGAGGGGGGGGGGGCGGAGGAGGAGCGGGAGGAGCAGGCGGGGGGCCCAGGGCAGGGCGGGGAGGAGGGACGGGGAGGCTCATGGCTGCCCTCCAGAGGGTCAACGGATCACACCAGCCGTGCTGCTCCGAGGCTTCTGGGCGTGGTCTGCGCGACGTTTCTCTGCCTGGCCCGGACAGCCACTCGAGCACGGCTCGCGCTGCCCCGCGTGGGCGATTCGCCGATTAGGCGCGCAGCCGAGGAGGATGCCCTCTAGGGGACCAACGCTCACGATTCAGCTGCTCCTGGCTTCCCCGTCGCCCTCCCCCTCCCACGAGTTAGGCTGCTCCGACCTCCGCCTCGGGAGCCAGCCCGCAAGCGGGCTGTACCGCCTCGGCCATTTCCCCGACCAGCGGGAGCATAAGGGAAGGATGGGGGGGTAAGAGTATGAATATGACCATGTGAAGAAAGTCAACGCCTGCCAACCAACGTGAAACACAAGAAGCGTGTACATCACACTCTACTGTGCTGACGCTTCTCGGCTGCACTTACACCCTTGGGCTGCAGACCTCGCGAGATCATGCTGAGTTATTTTTGGGGGGTGGGAGGTACGCGACGTGTAATTGCAAACACTCAAACAATTGATGGTCGCACCCCCATTCCCCTCCCAGGATCCCGACTGCCATCAATCCGCCGCCGAATAATAGTAATTGTTTGTTACTGCCCCTTGGAACATATCCCACGGAGACCGAAGGATACGATTTACACACATATGCAGATGTATGTGTATACATATGTATATGTACACATACATGTATACATGTATATTCATATACATGTATATATATATATATATATATATATATATATTCGGAGTAGGCCGAGGGGGGGGGACCGGGCCGCTGCCTGTTTCCCCCAGGGGTGCCCGCCGAAGGTTGTTGGGGAGTTCCAGAACGCCCGAGGCGGCCCGGGCCCGGCCCGAAGCAGGCCACGACAGGCTGAGGGGGGTCCCGAGGGGGCCCAAGACGCTCCAAAGAAAGAGGCCCCGAAGACGCCGAAGATGCCCTCGAGACAGCCCGCGAGGACTTCAACACGCTCCAGGACGGATTCAAGAGGCTCCCCAAGAGGGCCCTGGGAGGCAAAACTCACTCATGCCCCAAGGGTTTGGGAAGGAATTCGGCGTCCTCGCTTTTCCCGCTTTTCAGCGCTCCCCCACGGCCTCCGAGGCCTTGTATAACAAAACATGAAACATGCTGTTTGGCAGGGATGGCCGGGGGGGGGGGGGGGGCAAGCAGATTGCCTGCCGTGCGCAAGCCCACCATTCTTTTGACAGAGCATGCAATTTTCACGTTGCTAGGGACGGCGGCATGCTGCCTGCTGTGTGCAGGCCGACTACGGCTGCCAAAAACAAGTGCAACATGATTGCGGGTGAACACCCACACACAATATACGATGCTCGCAAACCCGCCGTCGTGTTGCACTTGTTCTTGACAGGGGTTGTGTGGCGGTCGGCCGATTGCCCATATGCCATATTGCCCAAAGTGGCGCGCCTAATGCGCCTCGCGCCCTTGGCACGTGCGGCTCACCTCGCGGGCATCACGCACTTGGCTGGCGTCTGTATTGCTTCTCGATGGTTGTCGATGGCGGCCCCTGCCTGTGCTGAGAATCGGGTGCGACTTACGTAGAGAGGCTCAAGGCGGCCCCCAAGATGCCTCCAGAAGGCTCACAAGAGGCCCCATGAGTGTCCCCATAGGCTCCCAAGATGCCCCCTCCTCCGATTCCTCCTCCTCCACCTCCGCCCCCGCCTTCTCCTGATCTTCCCCGCCATCCTCCCCAAAGTGTTTCCCGACGGGTTCCCACAACGGTTGGGGGAACACATGGTCCGATAGCTTGTCGGAGCTCTTGCCACAACGCTCGGCCACATGGGCGATTTTTGAAGGCAGGGGGCGGCGGTGATTCGCAGTAGGCGTCTTCGACAACGCCAACGTCTCAATACGCACTGGTGATTCCTACTCGCCACCGCATTATGTTGCCATATGCGCCCGGGCAGTACCGAGATGCACCGACGCGATTCTGATACATCCTATTATGATAGAGAGGGGGCCGGCGGCAGTCGGCGAAGCCTTAACGGATATATATATATATATATATATATACACACACGTATGTATACATCTACACGAACCATCGTGCGCGCTTTGCGCGCGTCCAGGTTATAGCAGGCCCCAGGCCTTGACGAGTTCTCTGCTCCATTGAAGTAGTGGACCACAGTCCACGCATGTCCATCCACATTCCGGAAGGCTTTCGGGGAAAATGGTTGCGTAGGGGGGCGGAGGCCGGATGAATCGGATTCCCAAAAGGCCTTCTGGGAACATGGGTTTTGGGGGCGTCTTCAGGAGCCTGTTGGGGCGTGCCGTCGTCGTCGTCGTCGTCGTCGTCGTCGTCGTCGTCGTAATGTCGTTGTCGCTTCTTGGGGCGCGCCTTCGTCGTCGTCGTCGTCGCCCTCGTATTCGTCGTTTCGTCGTCTTCGTCGTCGTCGCCGGTTCAAGAGGGCATTTGGGGCAACTTTGTGCGACACGATCTGCGGGGGGGCCGCGAGAAGGCGATCAGTCAGTCGTGTTCCCAGTCAACTTCCCAGACAGCTCTCCGGTAGCGTGATGGTATTCCGGAGCATCCGGAGACTCTCGGGCCCATGATGAACCATGTCCCAAGAAGGCTTTGTGGGGACATGATTTGTTGGGGTGTGTTGGGGGGCATCTTGGGCGTTCCCTGGGGGTCCCTTGGGGGCCTCCGAGACTTCTCGGGCCCATGATGAACCATGTCCCCAGAAGGCTTTCTGGGGGGGATAATTTCTTGGGGTGCATTGGGGGCCCTCTGGGGCGTTCCCTGAGAGCCCCTTGGGGGTCTCTTGGGGCTTCCTGGGGGTCTCTTGGGCGCCTCACGGGGCTTCGTGTGAGCCTCTTGGTGGCTTCCGGGGGCCTACGGGGGCCTCTAGGGCCAGAAACCTCGAACTATCGGTTGGCGGTTCCCCTCTGGGCCCCCTCTTAGGGAGTTCTTGGGGCACACTTGGATTGTTTCGGGAGCCTCCTGGGCCGTCTTGGGGCCCTCTTCGGGGTCTCGTGGGCCGTCTTGGCGCGATATGAATGGCCTCCGAGGCCGTGAGGGAGAGCTGGGAAGCAGGGAAAGCGAAAGCACCGAAATCCTTCAAAAACCATTGGACAATTTGCGAGTTTCGCCTCCTAGGGCCTTCTTGGGGAGCCTCTTGAGTCCGTCCTGAAGCGTGTTGGAGTGCACGTCGGCCGTCGTGAGGCTCGGGACCCCCATGAGCCCGTCGTGGCCTGCTTCGGGGCGGGCCCCGGACCCCTCTGGGCACCGTCTTGGGGCGCCCTTAGGGCGTTGCCTGGAGAGCCTCCTGGGCCGTCTTGGGGCCCTCTTCGAGGCCTCGTGGGCCGTCTTGGAGCGATCCGACGGGCCTCCGAGGCCGTGAGGGAGCGCTGGGAAGCGGAAAAAGCGCGAACGCCAAAACCGTCAAAACCATAGGGGAAATTATCCGTAAGGGCTTCGCCCCCTGCCGCCGGCCCCCTCCCTCGGAGAATGGGCCACAGAAGAGCTAAGTCATGAGGTCTTGGCGCTGTCGTGAAGCAGTATCGAAACTTCATGCGAAGCCGATTCGCAATCAGCAAAACCAACTGATCACAAGAGGGGTTACCACACCTGGCGATTGGTAAGACGTGTATGGTTTACGGGCTTGGTTGCCACACCTTGCGATTAAAGGGCCGAGGGAGTTCTCGCAGTTTGGGTTACCACGCCTTGCGATGGATGTGCGTGAAGGGTGGCACCGAATTTCAGAAATGTGGCAAATCCCCTGTGTTTTTGGACCCTGACCCCGCGGATCTGCGTGAGGGGTGGCACCGAATTTCAGAAATGTGGCAAATCCCCTGTGTTTTTGGACCCTGACCCCGCGGATCTGCGTGAGGGGTGGCACCGAATTTCAGAAATGTGGCAAATCCCCTTTGTTTTTGGACCCTGACCCCGCGGATCTGCGTGAGGGGTGGCACCGAATTTCAGAAATGTGGCAAATCCTTGTGTTTTTGGACCCTGACCCCGCGGATCTGCGTGAGGGGTGGCACCGAATTTCAGAAATGTGGCAAATCCCCTGTGTTTTTGGACCCTGACCCCGCGGATCTGCGTGAGGGGTGGCACCGAATTTCAGAAATGTGGCAAATCCCCTGTGTTTTTGGACCCTGACCCCGCGGATCTGCGTGAGGGGTGGCACCGAATTTGAGAAATGTGGCAAATCCCTTGTGTTTTTGGACCCTGACCCCGCGCGGATCTGCGTGAGGGGTGGCACCGAATTTTGGCAAATCCCCTGTGTTTTTGGACCCTGACCCCGCGGATCTGCGTGAGAGGTGGCGATTTTGAGCCCCCCCAGCAATTCAGACAACGCGCCCAGGTGGTGCTAAAAATCTGGTTTGGCCTCCCCCCCCTCGCGCGGTCAATCAACTAGTTACAGTAACCAGCAAGAAGTCAACTAGTTACAGTAACCAGCAAGAAGCAGAACTGTAACACTGGAAACTACAAACTACAACTCGTACAGGAAACTGCAAATCACGCGCCTCGCAGCCTGGTGGCCCCACAAGGGGGCCGGCGGATAAATGTTGCATCCCAAGGCCCTCTTGGAAAGCCTCTCGAGTCCGTTCTGGAGCGTGTTGGAGTCCTCGTCGGCCGTCTTGAGGGCAACTTGGGCGTCTTCGGGGCCTCTTGGGACCGTCTTGGGCCCTCTCAGCGGGACCCCCGTTAGCCTGTCGTGGCCTGTTCCAGGGCGGGACCGGGCCGCCTCGGGACACCTCTGGGCGCCCTCTTGCGGCGCTCTTGGGGCACACTTGGGTTGTCTGGGGAGCCTCCTGGGCCGTCTTGGGGGCCTCTTCGGGGCCTCGTGGGCCGTCTTGAAGGACGGACTCAAGAGGCTTCCCAAGAGGGCCTACCTTGGGGGCGGAGAGTGCTTCGCACGTGAAAATACGTGCGCGTGCGCGGAGGGGCTGGGGGGCCGACTTGCGCCAAACAGGTGACAGGCGACGATGAGGAGGAGGAAGGTGGAGGCAGGACGATGAGGAAAAGGGGAAATTAAAAAGGAGGAAGGATGAGGAATGGGAAGAGGAGGAGGAGGAGGAGGAGGAGGAGGAGGAGGAGGAAGAGGAGGAGGAGAGGAAGAGTAGGAGGAGAAGGGTGGGTGGAGAGGAAGAGGAGGAGGTGGCGGAGGAGGGGAGGAGGGTAGCACGAGGAAGAGAAGGAGGAGGAGGAGGAGGAGGACCAGGAGGAGGAGGAGAGAAGGTGGAGGAGGAACAGGAGGAGGAGCAGCAGGAGGAGCAGGAGGAAAAGGATAAGCGGAACGTACAGGCGGTAGACGCTACAGACAAGCAAATGGAACGTGTCGCACGCGGAACAGAAGAAAGCTTGATTCCAGTTCCTTACCAGATTCGTGGACCCCTGTCAAGTTTTCAGAGGAGAAGGTAAACAAGGACAAGGTAGGATGAGGAGGAGGAGGAGGAGGAGGAGGAGGAGGAGGAGGAGGAGGAGGAGGAGGGGAGAGAGGGAGGAAGGCACGGTGAGGAGGAGGAGGCGGAGGAACAGTAGGATGGCGAACAAGAGGATGAGGACATGCGGGGGGGTAGAGGAGGAGGAGGAGAGGGAGGATGGAGAGGAGGAGGAGGAAGAAGAGGAAAGGGGAGGAGGAGGAGGAGGAGGAGTGAGGGGAGGAGGAGGAGGAGGAGGAGGAGGAAGGGGGAGGAGAGGGGAGGAGGAGGAAGAGGAGGAGCAGGAGCAGGAGGAGGAGGAGGTGCAGAGAGGAGGAGCAGGAGGAGGAAGAGGAGGAGAGGAGGAGGAGGCGGAGGAAGGGGGAGGGGGAGGGGGAGGGGGAGGGGGAGGTGGAGGGGGGGGAGGGGGAGGAGGAGGAGAGGGTGGAAACGAATGAGGCGGATGAGAGCGAGCAGGCGCAAGATAGAAGTTGACAGATCACGTTCCCGCTGTTACCACCGCCGCGAGGGCAGCTCCCGCGCCCGTCCCCGCGCAACGGCAGCTACGTCGCGTCGGCGCCGTCACCAGCGGCGACGTGCGCTCTTCGCCCCGCCCTCCGCGCGCGCGCGAGTTCCGCCGCGGCGAAGTCGTGGAGGGTCTGTCGGGAAGCGTCGAAGGACTTAGGTTGTGGTAGTGGAACGATCTCCGTGTAGAAGACTCGTTATCACATTCAAGGAGGCGAGGGTTTGAGACCGCATTCGAAGGGAGAGCCCCCCACCAGGACATCGGCTTCGGTTTCGTATCCGTGTCGCTTTATTGAGCCCTCTTGGAGTCCTCTTGGGGCTATCCCTGCGCCTTCTTGGGGCTCTGTTGAGGGGGCTTGGGGTCCTCGTGAATCTCTTTCGGGGGGTCTCGGGGCCCTCTTGGGGCCCTCTTGGGGTTCTCTTGGCGTTCTCTTGGGGGCCTCTTGGGAGTCCTGGAGGGCCTCTTGGGGCTATCGTGGAGCGCGTCGGTGAAAAGAGAGGCTTCCTGACGTTTCTTGGGGCGATCGTGGGCCGTATGGAGGGCCTCGGGCCCATCTTGGGGATCTGTTGGGCCATATTGGGGTTTTCTTTAGGCCTCATATTCGCATCGAAAGCGAAACGGCGAGAACGCACCACTCATTGATTTGTATTCGGTGATTGAATGATGTTGGCTTCTTTGGGGTGGGGTCCGGAGGGGGCTCCGAGAGCACTTGGAACCGTCTTGTTGCCCTCCTGAGGCCTTTTGGAATGTTGGAAGCGATCTTGAGCCATCGTCGGTTATCTCGGGCCATCTTGGAGACCATCTTGGAGCAACGGGAGCCCTCTTGGAGCCATCTTGGGCGACACAGGACCCTTTAGCACCTCGCGGCCACCCCCTGTCCAGATCTAGGGGGAGGGAGCAGGGGGAGGGGTAAACCCCTCCCCAAAAGGGGAAAAGAGGAGTGGAAGAGAAACCACCCCAAACCAACTACGCCCAGAAGGCTGGTGGGATTGATTGTCAGAGTAGCGGGTGCGTGAGTGTTCCTCGGGCAGCGGATAGATTTTGGAGATGTCGTAGACAATTTGTGGTGATGCTTTTATTATTGTATTATGTATTCATAGGCTTGCCTTCATTCCTATGCTTCCCTTCATTCATGGACGCTTGCTCTTGCTCATGCTGTCATCCTCTTCATCAAGCCTCGACTGAGCCTTCGACCTGATTATTGCATGATGGTTGAACATGCGCCTCTGTTTCGGAAGCTGGATGCGTAATTTTGGCAGCTACTTAGATCGAGCGCGTTGTATGTCAATTCCCTGATATGGAGACATAAGCAGAATGGCATAACTCAACAACCAGGAGAGCAATCTATAACAGCATTGGCAGTAACAGCCTCGTAAATACTTGCGCTGCGCGCGAGGCAGCGAGAGAGAAAGAGAGAGAGAGAGAGAGAGAACGAAAGAAATAAAGAAAACACATGACACAACGAGAGAGATAGCGATAGGAGAGGCATGGCACCCCGAAGGCGTGCAGCAAGCGCGTCGGGATCCTGCACCGTGAGCGTCCCCTCGTCGCCCGGTGCCTAGACTGGCATGCCGGAGGGAGGGGTGGGGCCATTGTAGCATCCCATTCTTTTGCATCGCGTTCTCCTGAGTTGCTGCAGCTCTCGGTACACTCGTTGGTAGTGCTGCTACTGCTTCTGTTGCTCCCTCGGCTCCCATTGTCGCTATCGTCGATGGGTTTGCGGATGCACCTGCCCCTGACAATGATGCGGCTTATGTTGTTGGCAATATTGGTCTTGCCGGATCGTCCAGTTCGTCGCGTGGTCCTACGGTGATGCAGCAGGCGGTGGGATTAGAGTGGGTTCGAGCGGGCTAGCCATTTGAAGTGCATGATGGAACATACCCAGGATGTCGTTGGCCTTGAACCCCCCCAGGTGCGCCCCTTTCGCCTGGAGGGACTGCCACTCAGAGGCCGCGAGGAGGGGGTGCGCTCGCCCTCGAGACCTTCGCGGCAGTGCACGGCCTCCTCCCCCAGAGGCTCGAAGGACCCAATCCAGCACGGAGCAGCAGCAGCCAGAGCGTGAGGGATGAGAGGGGGAACATCGACGTGCACGGGAGGGTTAGCGAATCAGCTGGATGCGGCGGCTTCTCCCGGGGCCTCTCCAGGGCGGCGGCGCAAGAGCGCCAAGAGAGTCCCGCGCCGCGCCTCGCCACGAGCGGGGGGGCAAGGGTCAAGGGACGGATGCGGGGGGGGTGGTTGGGCCTTCGGCCAGTGAGGCTCACGAAGCTGGCTGGACCACTAATCCCCCCTCTACTTCTCTTCCTCCCTCGAGTGCGGCTGGGTCGGGGCTCCTCCAGAGGAGTGACGCCTGCATCCGTGCAGTGTCCCACACCTTGCCCCTTTTCCCGTGCATGACTTGGAGGCGGATAGACCTCCTACCCTGACACGTTGAATAAGGAATTGGCCGTTTTCGGTTCGCGAGAGGGCGTCGCGGCCGTCATTTTTGCCGGTCCAGGTCCGTCGGTTTCGGTCCCAGGCCGTTTTCATTAAGGGGAGGTTTACTACAGGGAGCTTTTTGTCCACCGCCGAATGACTGCTTCCGCAGACGGGCACGCTCCAAGCCGCTGCGGAACAGAACGGAACGGCACGCTCGGGGGGAGAGCACCGACCCCGTTCGCCCAATCATCGTCGGCAGCGGCCCGACAGCCCACCCCGCCCAGGAGCGAGCGGCGTGGCGATCGGGGGGGCCCACACAGCCCAGGAAGGGGCGGCGTGGCGATCTGTCGGCGATGTACCGCCGATTCCAGGTCGATGTGTCCCTCCTCCTCTTTCCTCCTCCTCCTCCTGCTCCTCTCCTCCTTCTCCTCCTCCTCCTCCTCCTCCTCCTCCTCCTCCCAGCCTCCTCCCCCCTCCGAGCCGGCCCTTCCCCCCGACTGTGGCCCCTCGTTGCTCCTCTGGGTGGAGGCCCGGAGGGCGGCCCACAAGTCCAGAGAGCGGCGTTCCCGGCGCGCGCGCCTTGGGGCAATCCCGCGCCGCGCCTCACCGGGGGCGGGGCGAGCTGCGGCGGCGAGAGCCGAGGCCTATCCTCGCCGATCAATGGTTAGGGCACTCAACGATGTTTTCCTGGACTCAGCGCGTGTACAGTAGACGCGCGCTGCTAGCACGACCCCTTACGGGGCCTCTGAGGCGAAAGACGGCTGCGGAGTTTGGGAGGCCCTGCTGCAGACCCGTCTCTCTCCCGCTTGTGTTGCAATGCGCATGCAACTGCGAACGCAACTGATTCAGACTGATCTTCGCATGATGCTCGAAACAACGATGGGCGGAGCGGGTAGGGTGCGGAAATCGCCGAGCACGCAGCGAAGTCCGAACCCTACCCCCGCCTCCCATCATTCAGGATAATCGATGGTTGGTGGGGGTAGGGCTCGGATGTCGCCACCGGGGGGGGCAGGGTTGGGATCTCCAGGTCTTTTCAGTGCGGGATCCTCGGATACCCCGGCACGTTCCTCAGGGCGGGCTTTCAATCCCGAGTCTGTCTTGGTCGACTGCCCTGGGGTCCGACGTGGGCCCCCATGAGGCCCACAATGACAAGAAACCTTCGCGAGTTTTTTTGTTTATGCCGCTGCTTCTTCCCCTGGTGAGGGAGGCTCAGCCACGCGCAGGAGGGGGGCAGGGGGAGCGGAAAGGCTTGACTAGAGGCACCCTTGCTTCCCAGAAGAGGCGGGCCCTGTCTGTAGTTGTAGGGGCTGGTGCCTTCTCCCAAGAAGCCTTCCCTCCTCCCCCCCTCCTTCCCCTCCTCCCCCTCCTCCTCGTCCCCCTCCTCCTCCTCCTCCTCCTCCTCCTCCTCCTCCTCCTCCTCCCCTCCTGCTCCTCCTCCCCTCCTCCTCCTCCTCCTCCTCCTCCTCCTCCTCCTCCTCCCCTCCTCCTCCTCTCCTCCTCCTCCTCCTCCTCCTCCTCCTCCTCCTCCCTCCTCCCCTCCTCCTCCTCCTCCTCCTCCTCCTCCTCCTCCTCCTCCTCCTCCTCCTCCTCCTCCTCCTCCTCCCTCCCCTCCTCCTCCCCCTCCTCCTCCCTCCTCCCCTCCTCCTCCTCCTCCCCCTCCTCCCCCTCCTCCTCCTCAGCTGTGAGGGGAGGAGGGAGGCCGCTGTGAGCGGCCGAGCGCCGGGGGGACGGGCGGCGCCCCCATCGGCGCGCGCGCGCGCCTCCCGAGGCCGGCGCTGCGCGTGCGCGACGTGCAGGCGGAGGCGCCCAAGCGCGAGGCGACGCGCCTGGATGGGGGGGCCCTCGGTTCGATTCGATTCCGATGGCTCTTCCTCTCCTCCCTCCTCCCTCCTCCCTCCTTCCTCCACCTCCTCCCCCCTCCCCTCCTCCTCCTCCTCCTCCTCTCTCCTCCTCTCCTCCTCCTCCTCCTCCTCCTCCTCCTCCTCCTCCTCCTCCTCCTCACTCCTCCTGCTCCTCCTCACTCCTCCTGCTCATCCTCATCCTCATCCTCATCCTCATCCTCATTCCTCCTGCTCCTCCTGCTCTTCCTCCACCTCCTCCTGCTCCTCCTCCTACTGCTCCTCCTCCTCCTCCTCTCACTTCCATGCTGCCCTGATGCGGACCAGGATGGCGATCCTCCGTGCGGTGTATCAAGCGCACCTGTCCCAAGCAGGCCAGCAAGCCGTCCTGCCCTGTGGCCCCCGGTGAGCTGCCCCAGGCCCCCTACACGGCTTAGTGGCCCAGCGTCTGACGCTATTTTGGAAGATGCCAGCCCATCCTCTGATCAGGTGGTGAGACTCGCATCATGGTTTATCATTTGTACGGTCTGAGGCGATCGTGGCTGTCTCGGGGTATGTTGACCACGCATAGCATCCACCGACACCAGGTGCCAACAGCAGTCCTTGCACAGGCTCAGGGACCAGACGGCATGTCGTTCAACCTTCACAAGCACCTCCACAAGCTTATGCCTACCCTCAAGGGCATTGGCACTACATTTCAATCCTCCTCCCCCCCCTCCCCCTCGCGCCATGGAGGAAGCCAGTTCTTAGGGAAAGGGGTCCCGAGCTTTTTCGCAGTGGTCGGGTTCTCCTGGCCCTCAAAGGGCCCCAGGACAGTTTGCAAAACGACGCAGGAGAACAATCTCATCCTGGGGGAAGCCGCCAAGGTCCAGGGTCCGTTTCCCTCAGCACCCGTTTCCCCCATCTTCGTTCTCTTCTTCGATAACATTCTTGGTCGCCAGCTTGAACGCGAGATTGGATGGCATCAGTCAGGAATTGCAAGGTTGGGACGTAGGTGTACTGACAGGCACACATGAATGGGCTGGACCAGAACCATCACAGACGATGCACTCGAGTCCCTCGTTGGGAATCCACTGTGGAGGAAAGCGGGTGAACGTATATTCAAACCATGTGGGGTATCCTTTTCTTGCGTCGACATTAAAACGCTCAGGCATGTGTATATACCGCCAAGAACAACGCAGGGACAGGCTGCAGGAATACGACTGTCGAACAAGTTCTTGGACTTGGCCCCTGTTGCTTCTTACGTCCCAATTTTCTCGGCCGCACACACGGACACATATCCCAGATACCCCGAGAATGGGTGGACAGGTGTTGCGAATGGGTAGCATGCAGATCGGTGGTTATAGGCTGATGCGGCACCAACAGCCATGCCTGTCTTCACGGAGAAGGAGCAAGACGATTTGGGAAAAGTGCATCACATACGGCTGGAGTTAGGGCGAAGCTTGTCGAACAGAACGAGCTTGCGATTGCGACGACACATTAATCATGGAACAGCCACAGGCTTCGAGCATGCCGCAATCACGGCGGCCACACCACACTCTGTCAGGGCACGCGTCGGCCTCAAGGACGAGGCAGCACGTGATCAAACAACGGGGACATTTGGACCACGATCCAATAGGGATAGTATTGGAGGTGGGACCGACTCAGAGATTCCCCCACCCAGGAGAACCAGGAAACAGGAGGGAGGGGTAGATAGAGAAGCGCTTATGAAGTTCATCGAGAGCGGCAAGATGCGCGGAGACTTCTTCCACATAGTCGAGGAGAAGATTTTGGAAATGGGGCCAGAGGATTGGGGGCATTTGTTGTCAGAAGCCACCCCAGACACTGATCGGAGGAAATGGAGTGGTGCAGCGAGAACGACAACGCGGGATACCGCCCCGACAAGGAAGATTCGCAGTGACCCAGCCGTTTCTTTTCTGAGGGAGAGGCGCCTCGAACTGCTAGGGCAGAGAGAGATTATATATATATATAGAGAGAGAGAGAGAGAGAGAGAGAGAGAGAGAGAGAGCGCGGCGGAGGCTTTGTCACGGCGGGGGCATGGTAGCATCTGCGAAGACTTGGCAGAACGTCGGCAGCCATCGGGCAATCAAAGACGAGGCGGGCATGACGAGCAGGGCGAAGCGTGTGGAATTTAAATCGCAAGCTAACGCAGCCAAGAAACATGGCGAGATGCATCGGTCCAGGCTTCCATGCCGAGGAACGGGCAAAGGACTGGGGATTTTCCGTGGACCTGGTGGGAATGCGACGAATGGCAGGCGGAGCCACCAAAACGCTTGCGCGATAGGGGGGGGGGGGGGGCTAGCAGCAGAAGGCATTCGTCTGGATCAGCATGTTGAGGATCATAGAGGCTCAGCTGAAGGCGAGGTTCAGCTGCCAGATGACTCGGGCATCAGAGCAGCAATTGCCAGGGTGCTGCTTCGGAAATCTGCGAAGAGGTGAGCCCGCCCACAGTGGGGGGCGCCGGCGGTGCACCTGCCAGGCCCCAGAGCAGCAGAGAAGACTGAGGACGAAGATGAGATATCCAGTTAGGTTTTGAAGTTCGGATATCGGAGGGGTAGCGCCCCGCAGCAGTAAATGAGGAAGGTGGGCGGAACAATTCGGCAAACGAGAGAGGGCCATCGACGGGAAAGCATTGGCGACCAACGGTGTATCGCCGCGCGAAGTGGGGCTGCATGCAGGTGCAGAGATGGGGGCAGAGCAGGTGGCGAATTCGGGGGGGTCATTTCTGAATTCCCGAAGCAGACTTGACGACGTCCTCAATGCGCGCAGGAAGGCCGAATTTTTTGTTCGTTCGCAACAGATAAGCGCAATGGGAAAGCGAGAATAAAAGGAACCGAGAGCCATGCGTGCACAACGTTCGATGGGAGTGACCCGGCAGAAAGGGGCAGTCGCTAGAGGAAAAGCGCCAAGGCACCCATTCTGGGCGCATGGATGGTTGAACGACGCGCGCAGGGACAATGACCCGGCGCGCACTGCAGCGACGCAGTGGGGAACGAAGGAAGCAGAAGCAAGTGGGATGCGCTGCCATTAAAACTGCGCAAATTCGTATGCCATTACGTAGAGACCAGCTCTAGCCGCCCCAGCGCGGGCGACATCTGTGGCGAGCCACATCTGCCAAGAGAGACGCGCCATTCAATTTGCAATGCCGGCCATTCTTTTCGCGGCTGCGATCGTGGGGCGCGCCGACGGTTGGACGCGCGCTTTTGCGACCCAGGTGGCGCGCGTGTGCCTGCATTCTGTCCGAGACAGTTCGATGGCGCACACAATCGTCACGTCGAGAAATGAAGGAAAGAGATGGGAAACATCGACGTGGACCGCACTTTGCACGATGGAACACGCCCGACCACGGGGGGAACGCGACCTGGCCACGAATGCATCCATGGACGACGCTGCCCGAAAGAGTTCGATTAGGTTGAAATTCGGCAGGACATCGCAAACCCGCTCAACGACGCGACCGAGCGATTCGAAAACACAGTCGAGAAGAAAAGTTGAACATTCAACACCGGGAAGGGCAAACCACCCACTTTGCCTCAATAGGTCTGGAAGCGCAAAGACTAGCAGACAGCTGCGACGGATGAGGGCCGGCAGGGCCCAATATGCCCGAGAGATGCAGCTGCTCGGGCCCCGCGCGCCGAGGGGCCCGGGCATGATTGGGGGCGGGGCGCGTGCAATCTATGAGTCGATGGAAATTGCTCGGAGACAGCGCGGGGGTTTCTGGGGATCTCGGGCTCAGGAGCGAAAGAAGGACGTACATGTACATGAATCCACGCTGGTTTCGAGAGTACGCGTTGCGCAAATGTTCGTGTAACGCGGCTGGTCTCGCGGATCGAGGGGCCGTGTTCATGTACATAGCTGGGCGCGTACGTCCTTTGTGGGCTCCCTACGGGCGGCAGGAGAGGTGAGCCGTTCGCCTGGCGAACGAAGAAGCGTCGCTGTGAGCGTCGCCGTTGGTGCGTCTCCTTGCCGGGCCGCGGAGTGCGCGAAAAGGCGTGCTGGCATGCGGCGGGGCCATCGCGCGGGCGCCGCCGCTGGGGCTTTCAGGCGTCGCGAGGAAAATGACCTGCAGGGGGGGGGGGGCAGCAGCGGGGGCAACCGGGGCCTTCGGTGGAGCTCCTTATGGGGCAGCGAAGCGCGCGAGAGATGTGCCGAAATAGCATGTGGGGCCACGTGCCGGCGCTGCCACTGACGCCTTCGGCGGAACCTCTAGTGCGAGGGGGTCGCCGACATAGAAGGCAGTGGAGCCCCCCACATGGCGTCATGCAGCGCGTGATGGAGCGCTCCGACACGGGGGTGGAACCGCGCGCGGGCGCTGCCAGTAGGGGCCTTCGGTGGAAACCGCCATGGGGCCACGTAGCGTGCGAGGGTGCACCGACGAAATGGAGCGTGGAATTGCACGCGGGCGCTGCCACTGGCGCCTTCGGTGCAGCTCCCTATGACATATGGGGCCACGAACCGCGTAAGCGGTGCGCCGAAATGGCGGGCGGAACCGCATGGGCCCCCCATGGGGCCACGAAGCGTGTTCATGGCGCACCGAAAAGGAGGGTGTAATCGCATGCGGGCACTGCCACTCGGGCCTTCAGTGGAGCTCCCTTTGAGACCGCGAGTCGCGCGAGGGTGCATCAACGATACAGGGGATGCAATTGCATGCAGGCGCTGCCAATGGGACCTTCGGTGGAGGTCCTTGTGGGGCCGCGCAACGTGTGGGGGTCGCACCGAAGCAGGGGTGGAGCCGTATGCGGGCGCTGCCAGTGGGGCCTTCGGTGGAGCTCCCTATGGGACCACGAAGCGTGTTCATGGCGCACCGAAATGGAAGATGGAACCGCATGCGGGCGCTACCAGTGGTGCCTTCTGTGAGGCCCCCTGTGCTGCCACGAAGCGCGTAAAAGGGGCGCACCGAAAGTGATGTAATGACGGAACTGCATGCTGGAGTTGCCACTGGGGCCCTCGATGGAGCTCCATATATGACCACGAAGCGTGTG